AAACAAAGAGTTCAGTTTATCTTTGGGATGGATAAGGAGACTCAACTTTGATATTTTCATCCAGCTCTGACCATTTAAAAATAAAAACCACAAAGACTAGGAGTTTCCTCATGAAAGGGGTAAGCGTTATTCACTGTCTTGTCCAACTAGACACTGCTCTTCCTGCCATAACATGAATGACTGATTAATGTTTGTTGAATGAAAAATTGATTGACTGAGTCATTGATACACAGATTTTTTTGTCTCCATGTAGCATTTTTCTAATGCATATTTATATTTCCTTTGACAGTGTTTGCAAATTGCATAATATTCCCCTTCAGCATAACTTGCAGCGTGGAAATGTTTCCATATGCTAGATGTTTCCCCTTATTTGACTGAGAGGTAAAAAGACTAAGAAAAGCATCACATAGTGGCTAAGCATCCATATAAATTTAAGTTATAGAGTATACTGTTCACAACAATGTATTTTACAAAAATCATTTTGCAAATAATATTGAAGTAGACATTCAATTTGAGCTGATATGGGTTAAGAAAATGTTCTTGTGCAGCTAAATACAGTTTTATATTAATTCACTATGTTGTAGGTGGAGAGTTGGGGGTTGGGAAGAGCGTGGGTCCTGGAGCTACTGCCTGTATTCAAATCAAGTTTCTTCTCCTTATTGTGTGGCTTGGGGAACTTACTCAATCTATCTGCGTCTTAGCTTAACACCTTTGTAAATGTGGATAAGTACTATTTCTCACATGAGACAGTTGAGAGAATTAAATGAATTAAAACAATGTCTCATAAGTGGCAGGGCTTAATAAATGTTATAATCAACAAGCTCTATAGAGTCTATTCAGAAAAGCCAGATTTCTCCTACCTTCCCCATCTCTATTATCCCTACTTTATTTCAGGATTCTATCAAGACTTGTTTTACCCTCCAGATCACTGGAGTGAATTTTTGAAAATTCACACTAAACCAGGCCTTTTGCCTTCTGGAAGCTCTGCCATTATTAGACTCCATTATGGAGTCCTGTCAACTCCAGGACTAAGTACAATCATCTCATGTGACATCCAAGATCCTGCATGAAGTCATTCCCTTTGTCCTCTGCCAGCCTCATTTCTCATCACTCTCACATGCACACTTTACTATAAGTACCAACAAACATCCCAAATGGAAAAAAAGTTATGCTGTTCTGATGAAAAATACTTGAGTATGAGGAGTGAGCAGCTAATTTTGCTGATGGCCTCATGGAAGACATTGGGAGAAGGCCTATTTAAGTTGTTCTTTAAGGAATAAGTTTATATTGGCCAAGAAAAATGAGTTAGAAAGTGACTGGAGGCATCACTTAGATTGAAGAAAGGGTTTGTTCCCTGGAACAGATAAACAAGGTGTTTTCATGGAATGAGAACCTGGATAGTGCTGGAAGATATAAACTAAGAGAGGATGAAAAGCTGAAATGAGGGAGAGGGGAGTATTAGTACGGGGCCTTAAATCTGGCCCGAATGCCTGGCTGAATAGTGACATTGGTGATGGAAATGAGGGATATATATGAGACAGGATGTATGTGCATTTATGATTTGAATGGGAAACAATATGTGTCTATTTTGTACACATGTGTATCAAAACCACCTAGGAATATTCAATACTGACCTTCTGATCTTATTTTCCACTCTTACCCCTGAGATCTTTGTCAAAACTTGCCCTTCTCAGCAAATGGTTTTGAGTCCTCTTATTTTTATCTTTAACATCTGTTATATGATACTTCAGCAAATCTTATAGGCTTTTTTTTCGACATATTTCCAATATCTCTTGCCATGTACCACTCTCACGGAAGCCACCACCATCTCTATGGAATTGTTGAAGTGGCTTCCTACACTGCCTGTCAGATTTCTAGCTTGCCTTCCTACAGCCTGTTTTCCACACAGCAGCCAGAGTGGTCTTCTCAAAGAGAAGTCAGCTGTATGACTTCTTTGTCCAAAGTCTCCTAAGGACAACCAATTCCACTCCGAGTAAAATGCTAAAGTATTTACGGTGGAGGTCTCCATGACACACCCCTCCCCAGACCCTGTCGCCTAGCCCACTGCCACCAGGACTTCCTGTTCTACTCCAACCTTCTCTGGCACCACTCTGCCATATTGTATTCTAGTGTACTTCTTTCTAGGAGTCTTTCCAGTGGCTGTTTGCCTGCCTGGGATATCTTTTCCTAGGACAGCAACTTAATCAGTTCCCTTCCCTCCTTTGGGCCTTCCTTTCTCAGGGAAGCACCCTATTGTCACTTTATCTGAGAGGTAGTCTTCCTCCTACTTCTGATCTCCCAATACCTTCTTCCTTGCTTTTCTCCCTTTTAGAATATGGTCATCTATAGGTAATGTGAAATAGGAAGAAAAGGGGCAAAGGGGAAGGAAGTGGGAGGGCTAGGGGAAAGGATAGAAGGGAATGGGATTAATATGAGAAAATGGAATAATAGGAACAAAATCTTTGTAAATAGGGAGGAATGGAGGGGTTGAAGGGAGGGCTGGGCAAGGGTGAAAAATAAGAACCAAGAGAGACTATGTAAAGGTGCAAATTTCCAATAATGAATGTCATTATATTGTATACCTAAAATGTACCAATGATTAGAATGAATAATCAATAATGTAAAATAGGAATAAAAGGTCCAAAGGGGTAGGGGTAGTGGGAGGGGCAGGGGAAAGGAAAGAAGGGAAAGGAAAAATGATGAGAAATAGAAAAAATGGAAATAAAGTCTTTGTAAATAGGGAAGGGTGGAGAGGGTGAAGGGAGGGCTAGGAATGGGGAAAAAATAAGAACCATGATGCATTATGTAAAGGTACAATTCCCAATGAGAAATGTAATTGTGTTGTATACATACAATATACCAATAAAAGAATTTAATACAAAAAAAAAGAATATAGTCATCTACTATACTCTGTATTTTACATCTTTGTCTTTCTGCCACTGTCTTGTTACTATATTAGATGTTCCAGGAGAGTGCTGCTTCCTGCATTGTTTCTCACTCTATACCCTTGCTTTACCTGACCACAAATTACTTAATAGGCATTTGCTGAATGATAGAATGAATCCAGGCAGGGACTATAGCAATGTGTTGTTACAAGGATTTGGTATTCAGAAGGCAGATCTAGGTTAAAGATAGATTTGGAAATCCTTAGCAATGACATGACAGCTGTGTGGGAGTAGCTAAAATATATCAAGGAAAAGATGCTTAGTGAGAATTTTGTTTTTAAAAAGAGGACCAATACAGAACCTGAAGAAAATAAAGAAGACTGTACAGATAATGTAACAAAGTTGAAAGCAATGGCTTTGGGTGTAGACATGAGTTAAAAATCTTTCACTATTTACTAGCTGTATGACCCTAGGAGAGTGACTGAGTCATTCTTGGCCTCTATAGTCTCAAAGATAATTTTTTTTTTTAAGATTTCTAATTCAGAGGGCAGTTAGGAGGAGTAACCAATAAGATACATATAAATCAGTGAGCAAATGTAGCAAAGAATATAGAGATCCTTGTTGTTGACACAAAGGCTATTACGCTTATAAAGAATCTAGGAAAGAATCCTAGAGAAAAAAAAAGAGAGAGAAGTGTAAAGGAAGATAACTGAGGAGAGGTTTTGAAGAAAGAAATGGTAAACTCTGTAGGTGTTGCTCTCTGACCAAGGCAAAATATTCTAAGGGATATGTAAGGCCCAGGGTTAAAGTTATTTGAGAGAACAGTTTTACTTAAACCAGAAAGTCATAATCCCATATTTTAAAATGAGATAATGTTTTCTGGAAAATAACAATAATTGTCCTAGAAAAAGTCAAATAAAAACAAAACAAAACAACACTAGGCCCTCAATTGTGTCCAGCTGACAAGTAGAAGAACATGGTGACCCAAAAATTTGTTTCTCCCTGGTCTTTGGGAGATTTACTTGCTTACTAGTCAGAACTAGTTTGCTAGTTTTATGAGGTGAAGTGTTGTGCAATTCCATTCAGCTGGCTCTGTGGGTGTTTATTTATAGAAGACTGCCATCTTGATTTATTGTCTGTCAAATTATAATTATTAAGGATAGAGTTAATTGTCATTTCAACCTCCTGGTAATTACCCACTGTGCTTTCATGTGGTGACAAATCTGTCCTTTAAATCAAAATTGGAAGGTTCATAAGATATTTCACTTCCACGTTAATCTCTGCCAAGCCATGTTCAAAATAAAGGATTAGTAGAAATTATCAATACATTTTGGTGTCCCTGGTGGGCCTCCAAGTAGAAGAAGTGCCAATTGTTATAAATATTTTTGAGTAGGAAGGCTGGTATAACAAGAATCCAGGGATGTGAGTTATAATAATTAAAATTGAAATTACGAGGCATGCTCTTTCAAAGATTGGTCTAATAAAAATCTTTTAACAATGCTTCTAGTATATGGGATAGTGCTTCACTAGGAAGGTTTATAACTCTCCCCATTTGCTTACCCCATTGTGTACCAAAGCCACTTATCCTTATACCTTTCTGAACTTATAGGGTGGAATTCAGTAGAGATAGCACAGTCAGTCAGTGAGGCCTCTATCACTTCGGCCAATGGCCATGAATGGGGTGCTCCTCTTGGTTCTCTAGGGAGATACCTGATAGAATCAATGGGAATAAAGAGAAGGGGAAATGTATGCGCCATAAATGCTGCGTTCCTTCTCCCATTTTTGTTATCTGCTCCCTTCTTTGCATACTTTTTACTTTTTCTGCTTTTCCAGATATATAAATTTCCAGGGGAGCACTCATAACTTGCTAAGTTAGTAAGAAGAGATCAGGAAAAAGCTTTCCCATCAAAGCACACCATTGGGGTGTTCCTAAGATCTCATCTTTTTCCTCTCAAATCCCATCAAGAAAGTATAATGTGTCCAGCACCACCTAGCTTTTATAGAGGAAAGAAGCTCACATTCCTGGATACTCAGGATTTCTGTACATGGTCATCTTCTGATTGATAACAACCATATCAGAGTCTTTGGCAGCCACAAAATCACGTTACCTCTCGCTCTGCAGTGAGACTCAGCTTGAGCTGATTTCGAACATCCCGTCCCAGCCAGGGAGGCGTCTGTGAGCAACATCTGCTTTCTTTCTTCTGTAGTATGGTGAATCTATTAGCTAAGGGAAAAACAAAGGTCAGGGTTTGAAGGGTGAGGACCACTCTATAGTTTGTCACTAGTTTCAGGCATTTCTTGATTCCTCTCAAGAGATGATGACCTGCCATAGAGGATGTTAGCTTCTTGGGCAGTTTTCTCCAATCAAGTGCCCTGACATGGCTTCCTCTGGTATGCTTTTCTCATCTCTGCTCCATGAAACTGCGGCAAAATTCTCCATCTTACCTCTAAGATTTATCTTTTCACTGCCAATTCCTATCCTCTTCAGTGTAGCTTACATATCCCTGCCTGAGCGAGTTCCCAAATCCCTTTGTGGGTGCCTGCTAGCATCCAGATTGTTTACTATGGTACCCAGGGCCCTTTATTTTCTGGTCTCTACCTATACCTCCAACCTAGTGTTCCTGCCTCTCCCTCATTAGATGACATTTCTGTGTCTTTACAGTGAAGTTCCCAACTGACCCATATGTGCTTTCTTTCTGCATTTACTTCATCTGAAACATTCTCGGTCAATCTTCAGAACTCACAACTCAGCAGTGAGTCCTCAGTAGAGTCTTTCACGGTCACCTCCACTCCCCTGACAAATCATTCTTTCTCTTTCTACATTATTTTTGTCACTTATACTCCTTTACGTAATTGCCATGTCACATGATATTAAATATTTTTTGCTTACCTGCCTGGTTCCCTTTTAAATTCCTTAAGAATAAAATCTACTATGGAAAATTTCTCTATTCATAATGTAGGAGCTAAGTAAGTTGTATTAATCTGTGTTCCATTCTTTGTATGTTCTCCACCCCCAGATCCAGAGCTTAGTATACAGTGTACACTAGGTAAATAGTTGCTGTGAGTTCCTTATGAGAAACATAGCTAACAAGGTGGCTAATATTTTGGTGCCAATGTTAGAATATCCAGATATCTTCATGGACATATAACTGGTTTTATGGAGCAGTCCATCATTTATCTAAGGTATACATGACAGCTACTGATTGGAATAAAAGACAGTTAACAACATCCAAAAGTAAAGAAAAGAAGGCTTTGGTTTTGGTTAAAAGAAAACATTTTTACTAAATATTAAAGGAATGGACTATGAATTTTTATGATCAATGTGTATTTTTCTCTCATATGAATGATTTCTGTGGAACTCAAAGACAGTTTTTCTTTTCTTCCTCTCTCCCACCCTTCTTATAAAGGCAAGCAATCTAGGCAAAAACAGAGGGCTGCTAACTTCTATAGAGGAAAAGCGCAAAGCTTGTCTTCACGGCAACAGTCTGCTTTTGATGGCGGGTTGGGTCACCCCATCCTCAACCCAAGACTGTGAGTGAATTAGGCATCTGCAGATCTCTTCTCTTACTCAATGTCCTCTTGGAGGTCATTGGGTTTATTGGCCCAGTATGAAGACTAGGTCCATGAAGGGGAATTTTCTTTCTTTGTTGGAATTATACAAGAGCTATACTTTCTGGAAAAAAAACCTCTTTATGAAACTTAAACTATTCTACTTCTGTTCTAGTCTGATAGCATCAGGAACTTTCCAAGGTACAGCAGACAGCTAAGTTCTAGAGTGGTTTGAAAAATGTTACTACTGGAGTGGATGACTCCCGGAGGCTCTGCCATTCTCTAGGAACCATTCCTTACTGTCATGAGGATTTATATGTGTACATCCATTATCTTCACATCAGAAAAATACTGCTCAGTATTCACTTCAAAGTTGTAATCTCTCTCCCTCCTACAGGAAACGGTTGACTGAGAAGAGCTGAAATGTCAGATGCAGATACAGTGTTGTGTTGGTCAGATTTATATTCCTTCTTGACCCTTCTGATACTGCATCCTATTCTTGAGCACAGAGCTTCTTCTTGATCCTGATTTCATGTGTCAACACAGAAGCTAAAGAGGGAAGGAGTGAACAGATAGCATGTTTATATTTCTCGGTAAAATCAAAGTCTATCTATCACATTTTCTTTCCTCAATATAATGGGGCCTAAAAATCCAAGAAAGCAGCATTATGATACCTGATAGGAGCATCCTAATTATTTTCCTAGCTACACATGATGACAGAATCTGAGAGTCAGATTCTGGGCTTGGGGTCCAGTCTTTGCCAGTCACTGACTGGCCATATCACCTCAGCTAACTTTTTTATTTTCTCTAGCCTTGATTTCTCTTCTTGATATGACGAGGTGATCATTAAGGCTTCTCCCAAATTCGAATTCTCTGAGAAGTTGGAAACTGCAGTACAATGAGTGAATTACCTGTTGAATCTTTGTACACACACAACCAACTGTGTGTCTATCAAGATGTCTCATCACCACTACCAAAATATGTGCTCAGGGACATACACATGTTTGTACCCCTCAAATTAGTAACTCCACACCTGGGAATTTATTGTGAAGAAATAGACTCCTTGAGAAGGAATAAAAAGTTACATTAAAATAAAATGCTCATTGTGTAATTCAAAACTTGATGTGGCCAACAAGAGGAAAATGGATGAAGATCATTGGTGAGCTGTTCCAAAGTCATGAGAACCACAAAGAAAAATGATTTTGATGACACAGAAAACCAAAATGTATTTCACTTGCAGATTGCAAAGATGTATGTGAGCAGAGATGCATGAAGACAGTGAATGTCTGTGGTGGATCATCTGTAGGCCAGGTGTTGTGCTGGGCACTCTATTATCTCATTCCTTCTTCGGAATAGCCATGAGGATAGGTATTATGGTTACCAATTTATAGATTAGGAACCCGGGGCACAGAAAAGTAAAGTGACTTACTAGGCCACCATTATGTTAATGGGCAAGATTCAATCCCAAGTACAGCTGATCGTTGTTGTTCATAGTAGCTTTGGTCTATAAGGCCTCCGAGTCTGTGTGAACACTGAATTAGTAAATACTCAACAACTGCTCACAGGAGAAACACAAGGTTAGGTTCAGGCCTCTGTTCACATTTTCATCAACTGATCAATATGCAAATAGTCCCTGACTTACAATGGCTTGAGTTATGACTTTTCTATTTTATGATAATATGAAAGCAATATACACTCAGTAGAAACCATACTTGGAATTTAAGTTTTAATCTTTTCTCAAGCTGGCAAGATGTGGTAGGTACTTTCTTATAACACTGGGCAGTAGTCCCCGTCAGCCCTGTGATCATGATAGGAAATAACCTATAATCTATAGTGGACTGTGTTCCTAAGCTATCATGTTCAGTAGGTTAGATGAATTGAAGGCATTTTTTGACTTTCAACATTTAGAACCTACTATGGGTTTTTGGGGATATAATCCCATTATAGGCCAAGATTGGCTGTATAACCTTGGTTCATTAACATTGAACTTACAGCCAATAGTGCTACAACTCATGCCCAAAGTAAGCTTGTCTATCACATTTATTTTCTCTATGAGGCATAGACTTCTTGCACTTAAAAACATTAGACAGCACTTTAGCCCTATGCCTGGAGGCAGTGAAACCATAAACATGAAATCATTAACAGAAAGCACAAAAATTAAAATAGCATCAAATACACTTCAAATAGGACATTTGTTTACAAATTGAAAGCTGAAATCTTAGCTGAGGACAGGTGCTTTGGGCAACTCATTTTTCATGATTCTACACATCTGTGAATGACCCCAAAATCGCTGTGAGTGTCGATTTTGGAATTACAAATAAATGTTAGCAAGTTGGCAAGTTCACAATTGCAGAATTGATGAATAATAAGAGACTAGGGATCCATTCATTGCACAGGTGTCATGTGTCTGTTAGGTGCCAGACACTGTTGTAGGTACAGGGGACTCAGCAATAAACAAAGCAAAGCCCCTGAGCTTATGGACTTAGCATTCTGGGAAAGGGGTAAACACAGGAAGTACATCATGGTCAGATGGTGATCTTTATGGAGTCACATTGAATGAGGAGTGAATTAGGGAGGGTAAGTGGAAGGCTTCCTCTTCATACAAAGCAGTATGGAAAAGCCAGGGAGGTAATGGCTGAAGAACATTAAAAGAAATCAAGCCATAGGGACATGTGTGGGAAGGGCAATTTAGGAAATGGGAATTAGATGCTGAGCAAGAGGCTAGCATGGCTCCATAGATTATCCATAGGAGCTGGGGTGGTGGTGGAAGAGAAGAGTGGGGCATGGGTTGATAAAGTGTACTCGCTTAGCTCTAGACCTAGGTTCTTGAAAGGATCAAGGAAGGAAGGTACAGAGTGTTAGCATTAGGTACATTCTAGGTCATCAAAATGTAGCCAAAAAACCGATTGTGGATTGGCTTTAGGGACTGGCTCAGGTAATGTCCCAAGAGAGATCTTTGCCAAGGGGCAGGAGCCAAAATTTGCCAAGGCTCCCATACCTCTGCTTCATCTGCGGCACAGCTGGGCACCTCTGAGTACCTGGTTTAGGAAAGTGACTTAAAATTAGCCTGGGCTTGGGAGAGATTCTTTGGGAGACAACATGGCCCAGGGCTGCAATATTGAGGACAATTTCATCAGAACTTGTAGTGCATCTGAGGAGAAGTCACTCACAACAAACAAACCATCCCCAGGACAACAAGAGATGGGAAGCAAGTCCATGCGGTGAGAATTAGCTTGTGGAAAAACGCTGCTCACCCACTGCTGAGTTCTGATCTCTGCACTGCTCAGAATTTGAGAGCTATGGCTCATGTTGGAGCTAGCTACAAATCTCCTTCCGAGTTAAGTGATCTTAAGACACAAACCTCACTGTTGCCTAAAAGGGAAACTGAGCCCTAAGGAAGGAAAGTGATGAACTTCCAATAAATCACCAAGGGAGTGCCTGAGCCAGGCCTGGAATTGACCTCTGTCATCAAACTGTCATTTTGGACAGTTATTCCTAGAATTTAGGAGCAGAAGAAATTTGACAGAATTCTCAAATTTGCAGAAAATCCATCGATTTTTACAGCTGCTGCTTTTGTACTTATGCCAACAGCAGTGACAGTGACCGACTGTATAATTCCACTGAGTGAGTGTTTTTGTGGGGTTTTTTTTCTTTTTTGTCTTTTATATTTGCAACCTGACCATCCAACCTCTGACTCTCAGAGTGCCCTGTAAAAGTTTGTGTGGCATCATAGGAATCAGTCCAAAATAAAATGTTCCCAGTCAGTAAAAGTGGTCATCATACATGGACAATAGTCCAGGGGAATTCAAATCCTGACACAGGTTTTTTTTATATTTTATTGAGGAAGCATCTTCTTTCCTAGCTTTGTATACTGAGGCTCATGACTTACAAGTCTCAATGGCTACAGGTTGCTGCCCATCCTCTGTGAGTCACTGGATCTCAAAAGAGGTTGAAAGCAGTTGCTTAGGAACTGTAGTGTGCTGGTCACCAAGATGTCTGGGGAATAGGGAGGCAAAGCTTCATTTGTTGTGTCTGTCAATATTGTGGTGTAATTTCTTTCACCATGGTAGATTTTAAACTACTAGCAATTAAATAATCAGATTGCAGAATTCCTGAAAATGTAACCATCTGTCCTCAAGAGCTTTCCCCTGCCATTCACAGCATGCTTCAGTAGCTCTCTGGAAAAGGGGACCACAGGTGGACTGGGGAGTGGAGATGTGCTTGATTCTGCTTAGGAAGGCAGACATTCCGTGGGAGAGTGCACCTGTTTCCAAATCCTAGATTGTAAAAGGACATTCAAAGACTGAAAATTGTTCAATTTGAACAAGGAGTAATTTTGTCTGAAAAAAACCCACTGGGTAAACTATTTCTGGAATGAGCATTCAGGGGGAGGAAAACACAGGGTATCCAGAAGATTGCTGCCAAATCTCTGCAAAGCTGTTAGGTCCTCTTCCTGAGCCCTGAAGTCTGAATGAATGGGCTGTGGAGACACCCAGCATAGGGAAGCAGAGAGATGGGGGCAGCCACTAGGTGGGGCTATACCTGTGGGGACTCAGGGCATCTTCTAGACCCTGGGGTCTGATCAGGCAGTGGACTCTTAATTTTCTCTACTTAATCAGTTCCATCTTCTTACTTTTCATTCCCTTTTTTTTTCTCCTCCCTATGATTCATTTTTTTTAGTTGCCTTTGGCCCTTGGACCTAGTCTAGTGACCTCCTTGGACACTGACCTCTGCAGAAGGGGCAAGGTCCTTGGTTCTCTCTCCTGTTGGCTGCCACCCCGTGCAGAAAACACAATCCCTCCTTTTCCCATTTTCCTTTGCTTTCTCCTCTCTCTTCCAACATTCTCAGGTCCACACTGGTGACTGGAGAAGAGTAAATAAACAAATTGAAACTGAAACTGAGCTGTTGGCCCTGAAGTGAGGACATCTGGGAGGCTTGTAAGGGAATTTACATGCTTGCTGGGTTTCAGGTTACAGATTTTGTGTTGCCTGGTAACAAGAGCTCACAGTTCTCTTTCATGCTTTCCTATCCCCCATCCCCTGTTTATAGTGTAATTACCACTGTGACATCATAATCCCCATTGAACAGCTGTCAGGGGGGCCCAACTGCTGAGTAAACAGAGCTTTGCAATTGCTCCTCCACAGGCTGGTTTACTAAATAAATCAATATTTGGTTTGTAGGCACAGAGATTAGAAGGTGGAAGTATCTTTAGAAAAAGTCCTCTCTCTTCCCAGGCCCTCCAGCACACCTGAGAATGCTGGAAAGAAAAGCGAGGTTCAGAGACAAAAAAGAATCATCCAAGTGTCTTTCACCTGCCCGTGATTTCCCAAGGAATAGCTTGTCTCTAAAAAGTGAGACAAATTTGAGAATGAATAATGTCTTTAATGTCTTAGGCTCATTACTTTAATCCTTAGACTTCTACTTTCTTCTCTCTACCTCTGCCTCCCTCTTTAGCTCCCCTTTCTCTGCCCCCAATCTCTTTTTATTTAATCTTCCGAAATGGATATTATAGCCTGGGGGACTAAAAGAATGACACAAGGCTAAACAAGAACTAAGCCTCTAAGGCTCCCCCCACCTCCTGCCATCTTCCCCACCCGACTCTGGGATTAGATATTGAGAAGAGAAGCACCCATTGAGTCAAACTAAAGACTCCTGGGTGGTAATTTGGGAAAGGAAGGATCATTTAGATCCTAGATGTCACTGAAACTCCTAGGAGCAGAGAACTGAAGCCCTGCCTTGAGCATCAGGAGATATGAATTCTAACCCTTGGCACTGCCTGCAACTTCTTCTGTGACCTGAGTCTGATCATCCCTCGTGGACACAGTGTAAGACTGGCTGCAGGGACTGCCAGGCTTCTCCTAGCCATGCAAAGTGGAGCATCAAACTCCAAAACTGGGCTCAAAACTGCTTGGATACTGATCAATTGCAAAGTCCCCAAACTCACAAGCTACTCTTGCAAGCTGGCCTTGCTTCGGTGTTAAAAAAAAAAAAGGAGGGGTGATTAATCCCTCTCTGGGAGGATGAAATAAGGGACTTGATACATTTGCTAAAAATGTGATGCTTGGAGACTGTCTTTTAAAGACTAACTATGCTAACTATGGAAAAATTAGAAGGAAATAAAAAGTAACAATGCTTCTATGGCTCATTCAAAGTGCTTTTCCCATCTATGCTCCCATCTTACCTTCACATAAGCACAAAGAAGAAAGAATGCCACCTTTATTGACTCTTAAGAGTAGGCCTTTCACTGTCCTGTTTTTTCAGAAATATCATCTCAGTGGGCTATTTTCTCTCTGTCGCAGGTAATTGATGTTTGGAGCAGTGAAATGACCAGTCCAAGGTCACCTAGTTGATGAGTGTTAGCCCCAGTTCAGATGGTCCAAGTTCTAAAGCTGCCACGTTTTCTCCTTGTGCCATAGAAGTGGCCAGGTAAAGCTGGAAAGGGAGGTAGCAAAAGGAAGAGGTGACGAAAGTTAATGACCCAGGGAAGGAAATGCATATTTACATAGCATCCAATGCACAGTTGTCACACAATGCTGCAGGACTTTGCTGATTTAGTTGTTTCATGGAATAATTAAGAGTCTGAAAAATAAAATGCTGCAATTGGCTGCTGTCTTGTCTCTAGGACATTGTAAGATTTCTTTTCACTGGAAACTGCAAAAGGCCTTCCCACCTAGTAGTGCCCCCTGAAAGCTTCAGGTACCCCCAATGGACAGGTTGGGAGGCTACAGTGTGGAGAGGTGAGCTTCAGACAACCTACAGAAAGTCACCTCCCTGATTTTTTTTTGTGCAAGGAGAAGCACAGGCATCTGATAATTCCACCACACTCTCTGGCCGGTGGCTTTCTCTCTGAAAGACTGTATGGTTTCAATTCAGTTTCATGTAGATCTGTATGTAGATCTGTGCAGTGATAACATTCCTTCATGCTAAGTCTGTCTAAGATAACTAACCTGTTTCCAAGATCTAATTTTGTACGTGGGAATCTTGCCTTGCCCTGATTTCCAGACCCATAGGCAGGCTTGGCAGGCTGTGGCTGGGGCAGGCTCCAGGCTTCCCCCTCTGCATGACGTCCTCCTCCTCTGCAGCAGCAAGGCAGACACCTGCCCTGCCACAAGAGGTGCTGTTTGGTCCTGGCTCAGTCTCACTGCAGGGGAATCCCCTTGTGATTGAAGGCCCTTGAATATCTCAAACCCTATGTTAACTTGCCAACAAATAAAACACACCCAGAGCCCCTTTAATCAACTTTTGTGATATACAGTGGTACCTCGGTTCATGAACTAAATTTGTTTTATGATTTTGTGGAAGATGGACATGTTTATGTTTGTGTGAGGAAGCTGCCTGGAGCTGTGTTTGTCACTTGAAGTCGAGTTTGTGAATTGACTCCAAATTTTGCACTTTTGTTTGTGAACAGAAGTGTTTGTGAACCAAAGTATTACTTATTTATAAGCCCTCCAGGGGCTTCCATATACCAGTAATCCTTAAGCTGTACCAGACATCAGAGTCCCCGGGGGTGGGGACACTGGTAAAACGCAAGCACTGGCCTGCACCCCCAGAGTCCTGAGTTGGTAGCTCTGTGGAGGGGCCTGAAAATCTACATTCCACTCAGTTTCACGTGATACTAATACTGGGCATAAGGAAACACTTGCCTAAACCATGTGTCACCATTGCTTGAATTTCTGGAGCTGGTGGCTGGTTTCTTCGAACTGTCTTTCCCCTTTTTTTTTTTTTTTTTTTTAGCACTTGGCCATTGGTTTGATTCCTTTTCTATCAAAGGATGAGGGACTGCCTGACTCCTCATCAGAAAGAATGTGAGTCAGGTTTCTGTTGGCATCATTTTCACATCCCATTGTTGCCTATTTCATTTCAGCTCATATAGGAAAAACATCCCTAATCTGCTTTCCCTCTCAAGACTTTGCATCTTTAGACCTGCTGTTTGTCCCCTGTGTTGCAAGTCCCCCTGTCTCTGCCCTGTGGATTGTAGCTCAAAGTAGTGGTCAGGGATGGTCCCCATAGGGTCACTCCCGAACATCTACACAAGCAGAGATAATTCTCATTCTCTTTATTTAATCTCACAGCTGCTACTACAGCCCCTTGCACATTGTGATGTCAAGATCTCTTTTCACGCTTCTCCTGCCCTCTAGATAGACGGTACTGGAAGTCAGAGAACAGGGATGATTCAGAAGGTTCCCCATGTACCAAGAACAGTGGGTCTCAAACCAAGTTGCCCTTAAAATCACCTGGGAAACTTGCAAAACATTCCAGTGCTCGGGTTTTTCTCTAGACCAATCACAGCAGGATCTGCGGGGCACAGAGCTGTAATTAGGGCCTCCAGCTGCCAGATTTCCTAAGGGGGATGTTTTCAGCAGCTACAGCTCCATTCTGACTTTGTGTCTCAGTATCTTGTGTCTTGGAGAGGCTTTTGGCCTAATGAAGGCTACCGACTGTGATCAATCACCCAAATAAATGTAAAATCATACAACTCATAAATGCCACGAAGAGGATATTTTGCTCTGGGGAGAGAACACAACTGCTTTTAGAGTTCTTAAGGGGAGAGGAGGCCAATTGTCTTGAGAGCGCAGGAAGAGTTTCACTGGGCAGATGGAAAGGCAGAGAGTCTTAGGGAGAGGGAGCTGTGGGAGCTGCCAGAGCAGCCCTCTTGAGCTAGTTCACTCCATGGCTCTTGACTTCCCTCCTTGCCTCAACTCTTCTCTTTACCATTCTTCTTGGCAGCAAGCAGGGCTCTAGAAGGGGAGATTGTGTGCATGACAGTGAGTGCACACACACACACACACACGCATGTACTTACAGACACAAGCATAAACACATTCAAACACACACCTTTTCTGTTGCTCAGATCAGACCTCTGCCTAGAATGTTGATCCCCAAGGACACCTTTGTCCAGGAAGCCACAAGGTTAAACACACATTAGCAAGGTTAAACCACATCAGCTCTTTGATAATCCAGGGTCCTCTGACAAATGGTGTAACTCATCACAGCTTGTGAAGGAGGTTGGGGACCCAGATAGTGACAGGACATGGGATTCTCAATGTCCAGGACCACTGGGTACACTTGCTGTCACAGTTTCAGTTAAGCTCTTCCTTTTGTTTTTGAGGGTAGACCAGAAGAAGGTTTTGATGCCTTGTCTCTCTGCTCCAAGCCTTTGGTTTGCAATATCCACAGTCATGCTATACCATTTTTTTTTCTGTTTTAAACACTTATTTTTAACATTAGAGAAAACATTTTTTCTATGTAATCAATATCAATTAACCTGGCTTGTAAGTGTTGCTATCAATAAGAGTCTGTGTGTATCAAAGGGGAGACTATTCATGCTGATCAACCTAAAAGAGAATATAAACTTTCAACATGTGCCTATTTTTTTTTAGAATATTTTACGTGAAAAACAAATTGATCTCAAAACCAAAAGTAGTTTAGAGTTGTGCCTATCATAAATTTACAGCAACAACAAAAAAATAAATTAGACTATGACCTTTTTAATAAAATAAGAATGGCTAAAATAAGCTTGGGTTGTAGAGCAGACTTGGTTCAATAATTATAACAGCTACTGCTTTTTGAGCACTCGTTGGGTGCCAGCTAATGTGTTAGATATTTTGCTTATTTCATCTCAAGCAATTTCCACAACTCAAATTTTATAGAAAAATATTGAAGTTAAGAAAAGTTAAGTAACCCCTAGGTCACAGAGTTAGTGAATAAGAATTAAGTCTACCTGATTATGGAGCTCATGCTATTTTCTCGATTGTAATCTTTTGGGCCTCTGCACTGCTGTTTTCTCATGTGTAAAATGGGTAAAGTCATATTCAACCCTTTATATGCCTTGCAGGAACAATGAAATAAAAACTTGTTACTAGCAATAATAATACCTTCATTTTGTGTAGTACTTCCAAATTGTTTCTGTCTCCTGACTCCTATTTGAGCAACAGAACAACCTTGTGACATAGGTAATGTCATACCCGTCTTTTAGATGAGGGAGCTGAGGCTCAGAGAG